TTTTTGTGACAAATTGCGGAAACCTCACCTACCTCACTCGAGGTCTGCGATTATTGCGATAAAATAATGGAATGTGTATTCCGACACAAACTTAAATTAAGAAATTGATCGGTTTCAATTATATTGTGAACTTTAATTTGTGAGTTTAACACTCATTCCAATGGAATTTGAGAAATGCACCAAACTCTCAGACATGAACTGAGTTTCTTGTAGAGTTGTAACCGCCGTCGCCAGAGGCTCGCGAACCCGAGATAGGGCCAGATGATGCTATTCACAAGGCCACTGACAATTTTAAGTGGGAGATGTTTAACACCTGCCTACTTTCTACTTACTAATTTGCATTATAATAAATTGAATTAATTCCCCCCATTTTTTATGATTAACAAATGAAATTTCAAACTCATGCTTGCCCTATGTTTATTAGAGATAACTTCATTAAGGTTCTTTGTCAATATATCTGCTTCTAGTTCGGATGATTTAATATAATTAATTTTCAAATTTCCATTATTTTGTTTGTCTTTAATAATGTTTTAAATGGAAATATTTAATTCTTGATCTTTGGATTTGTCATCCAATCTATAACTGATATTATCCTAGTTTATTATTATGGGCTTATATATTAAATTATGTTGATTAAATTCTTCCAATAAATTATACCTCTATTTTGCTTCATAAGCATCATCACAAACTTGTCAGTTCTAATTTCATTGTTGACCTTGTAAGAAGTTTTGCCTGGGACTCTTCCAATTAATTGTTAAATTTCCAAGTTTTATATTGAATTCTCCAAAAGATTATATCTTAAGTTATACACACACTTTCAATGATAAACATTTCATGAATTTCATTTTCAATTTTTAGTATACTGCAAATGATATGACCCCTCACTACTCTTATATTCAAGATTTCAATTTCTCATCTTAACTAAACATAACACAATTAAGAACTCAAATAACAGACAACATTAAAAATAATAATTTTGAAAGTCACTAAAATTTATAAACACTATCAGAGGTGCAATACTTCTTTTTCATGGTATTCGTTGTTGTCTTAAGAATTAGTCGTCTCAAAATCCGGTTTAAGTTAATCTCAAAATTTCATCACTGAATTTCTAGACGCTCCCAGTTATTTGTTTTCTTTAAACTCTACGAGCATCTTTGTAAAATTATTATTATTAGAATAGAAAAATAGCCAAAAGAGACTTTTTGAACTCTTTTCTAGACATAAAATAGCAATCATTATAGTGGAAGTGAATAATCTCAAAATGAAAATTGTGAAAATCCTGTCTTGCATATACCATATTTGCCAGTAAACAAGATGCACTTTTTTCCTTCAGTGAGAGGTCAAAAAACAGAATGCGTCTTGTACAACGGACGGGTATTTTTTTGTAACCGTTTGAATGTTTAGTATATAGCATTACAAAAATTAAATATTTGTATTGTGCACTGTGACTGTCATAATACTATTCAACTACCTACATGTATGTTGTAAAAATTTCTAGAATATCGTAATTCACTATCAGAGGGCATAGTTTTATCTGCTGACAATATGTCGACAATCAATTATAGTATTCATTGCATCTAAAATAACGGTTTCTCGCTCTCCGCAAGTGATGCACAAGCCCATTCCCTGAAGTGTTAAGTTATCGAATTTCTTAGTTTAGCAAATAAAGTTTCTTAGTTGCTCTTCACAATGAGTGAGCACATGTGTTAAATGGTTGTTTGAAAATTAAAAGTTGTTAAGTAAGCAGTAGAACATGGTAATCATGCAGCAGAATGGAAATTTGGTTCACCACCCACTGAGAAAACTATAAGTGACTGACGAAAGATAAGGAAAATCTCACTCTTTCTCTGAAAAATAAACAGTGCTTTTGTGGGAAGAAACCTTTACGGTCACTTGTAGAACAATAATTGTTAGTTAAATCACTGATTTAGCTATAAAAGTACATATTTGTTGCATTTTAAAAAATTATTCCTCATGAAAATAAAAATCAAGTATAAAATTTAACATTAAAGAATGAAATTCTTCTTGAAAACAAGGGTGCAATTTATACACCAGCAAAAATGGTATACAAAACCAAAGATTCTACCCCACAGCCTACAGGTACACATTGTTCCAGAAGATCTTCAATTACTTATCTTACAGAGGCTGGCTAAGGAGATCAGAGAGCCAAGTAGAGATGACACTCCCAGTAGGGCAACAAATGTATACTATCTAGCATTTGCAATGAGCATTTGCGTGAGAATTGTGCCACTGCTCATGTAAGGTCATTTGTGTTACCTCATGCATTTGCTGGATACTTAGGTCACATGTACATCAATGGCTAGAGGTGATGGATTAGATTCAACACATTGAATGTTACAATATTGAATACAGGGCTTACACGAGGAAATCTAGTTGAAATATAGGTACTGAAACCAACAACCAGCTTGACACACGTTTCAGATATTAATTTGAAATCATTATTATGTGGAGGCTTTCCAATTGTGAATAAATATAACCAAAGTTTGTATTTTAATATTAGTCCTACACTATTAGTAGAATTCAGTAAGCATGTAAACTACATTTACTATAGCAAATTCATAAAATCATCTTTTTTGTATTAATGTGCATCATATTAAACATTAATAATAACTATTCAAGTAGTTTGTACCAGACACTTACGAAGAACGTATGCCACTATGACCAAAATTGCAGAAAATTTCTTTTGGTCTTTGTAAAGACAATGAAAAGCACTCTCCATGAAGATGTATCAGTAGCTTGTTAAGGGATAACTAACAAATTGGGTGAACAATCTTACAAGTCTAGCAACGAGCAATTTATTACATTTTATTATTCTATGCATGTTTATAACAAAACACTGAAAAAAGATGACTACAACTTTCCAGAAAATAATAGTTCAATTTATTTGTGGCTTAGGACATATTTTCTAGTGCATGTTATTGACTGACACCACTTCTTTAAGCATTTGTGAAAAATTCCCAACTTTTGTAAAAATTTTGTTAAAAAGATAAAGAAAAGCGTTCAAAGAAATACAATCGTAAATGGCATAATCACGGAAATAAGTGAAAAATGTCAGAAAAATTGTGAAGTATGGCAGATGACATGCTGGGTGACCTGTGGCCTCCCACCATGTGACCTGAGATTTTCGATCATCAAAATTTATTCAAAACATAACTTTTTATCAGTTTTTCATAGAACCGACTTTCATATGAAGAAGAAGAAGAAGAAGAAGAAGAAGAAGAAGAAAAGGAAAGAAAAGAAAAGAAAAGAAAAAGAAAAGAAAAAGAAAAGAAAAGAAAAAAAACCACGAATTTGCAACAATTAGTTTCTTTCCAAATTTGTCTATAGATTTCTTGATTTTAAATATTGTAACCCAGACAAAACAATTGTGGCATGCATACTAAATTGTTAATTTCCCAAGAATTAGTGCCAGTTAACCAAAATTAATACATGTTATTTCTAACAATTGTTTCGATTATGCCTGAATTTAGGCATGAATTTCAACAGTATTATGGACAATCAAAAATCTCAATACTTTTTCATTAAAGAGGCAATGTAAGGGGATATTGGTAACTATAACATTTTGTGGCCCTGTTATCACTTATTATCACACAGAAACTAAAGGCAACAATAGGCTACATCTCCCACAAATTTACAAAGCATATGTCTCGCAGGCAAAAACTATTTACAAAATTTCAAATAAGGCCACGAAAAAAGGTGGAGCATACGTTTATAGGCACCTTAACGGTTTAAAGCAGAGGAAGAATTTCCATATTATTTCGATGGTATATTACACAAGCCTGACAATTGGAAAAAAGATATGAATGATTACGTCAGCCTGGCAAAAACAGCTTTACAAATGTTAAAGCAGCATGTTAATGGAGCTACGAAATTCGAAAAATAATGCATATTATGTTTTGATTACCAATGAAGAACATTGGTAAAGAACAACAAAAAGGACAATTGACCTCCAGAAAAAAACAACAACAAAAAAAATAAATAAATAAATGGCCTTTCAAAACATGGAAGGTTGAAAGTGGAAGAAATCATGTTTCAACAAAGAATGGGTGACAATTTTTACAATCTTATAGGTAAGGGGTCCCATAAGTAATTTATAGATAGACAATTTACATTAACAATTCTTAATTTCAAGAAGACTCGCCATTTTGTTCGCAACAGTTTAGGGGATGTATTCTGCCCATCATCAGGCAAAATGGGGGAGCTCAATGTATGAAAGTAAACTCATGCACAAGACAAGAAACCATGTCAGACTCAGTCAACATTGGCAAAAGAGTGAATTCTCTATATCCGTGAACTGTTGCAAATAATATGACTATACTCATAAAATAAAAAAATATTTTTGTCAACTGTCTGTTTATAATTTAATCATGGGACTCCTTACCCACAAGATTGTAAAAATACCTATACTAAGACAAGCTAATTCCAATTCAACAAGATGATAATTTTCAGATTCTGTTCCTCGGACCCCACTGGCTAGTAGAAAAATATATGAAAGTAAAATAGTATGTACTAGGTCAATTTCAGTCAAGTGGAAACAAGTGACATCTTGCTGAAATGTTACACATCATATTGTCATAGAGCAGAGGATGTTTTGAAAAATATCTTCACTCAAAAATTACCTATCAATTCCTGTATAGATATAAACAATGCGAACAAGCTTAAATTAATGCTCTGACCAACTTGACAGTGCCTTTAGTTAGTGAAGGTATCAGACGTAAAAAAACTTTCAAGAATGCAAACAAATATTTTATAGCAAAGGGTATTATGTTTGTAATTTTAAATTAAATTTGTCCATAACCTAATGGATATCTCTCAAGAAGATGAACAAATCCAATGTTTTTCGTCAAGCCATCTTATTTAAAGAGAGAACATGTGAGTTAACCAATTTCTAATTCATAATATATAAATCATCAGTTTCAGTTCAAAAATAATTTACGATTCAAGTAAATAATAGTAGAAAATCTTATTGCCACACTCACCTCTCCATCTCTCAGACTTGTAATTTCGTTGCTGTCACCTCCTCCAAGAACATCGGGATATCCTTCAACTTCACTATTATTAAGTTCCTGAAAAATAGAAAGAAATAGTCTTAACATAATTGCAAAGACCTAATACAAACTCTTAGAACTGAAAGATACTGATTTAAAAATACACCTCACAGGATGGCATATAGAGTGCTACAGGATTTCCTTCTAGAGATGAATAGGAAAGTAGCAACTGAATAATCAGTCAAGGAAAGTCAACCACCCAACACCATTTTCATACCAATTCCTTCCAAAACCTACTCCTGGATATTAATTTTAAATGTATTAAAAAAACATAAATAAGTATACATTTTTTCAAATTCATTTAATAAAAAGAAAATTAATTATGCACTTTGAAACCCCCCAAGTGAAATATCTTGTATATTTTAGTGTTATTTTAACAAAATTCAAGATTGACAACATTTTATAAATTTGAGATAAAAACAACTTAGCATTCTATTCTTGTAATATCATGATTCTTGGAAAAAAATGGAATATCTACAAAAAATCTACAACTAACAAAACTGTTCATTAACTGTCATGATTAGAGAAACAGGAGTCCCTGTTTACAAAAAAGTACAAAGATAATCTTACTTTACTTCTTACTTTGGCTTATCATTCACAATTGAATTAAAGAACAAAAACATTACACAATTTAACGAAACGGATAAAATGTTGAAAATGTTTACAAAAAGGAACAACATTTCAAAATGCAATGCTCCAATAAGGGCAATAAATAATCCTGCCCGTGTCATTCCACATTAAATCAACACAGTCAATTTAAGTCAATATCTCAGATTCAAGATGAAATTTGGCATATAGGTAGTACGAATTAAGAATAAGAAAACTACAAACTGAGTTAAATATTTCTACTTGTTTGTGAAATACAGCCATGCAATTTATTATGAAATTGAGCTCGATGAAAAATTTTAAATTTTTAAAACCTCTCCAAATTAAGATAGGGAGCTGGAAAAGGTGTCATTTTGCAGCTTTCTTAATGGCCTTTTAAATGATATACAACTCAACAGGGGTTAGTTTACAAAAGTTTTTCGAATTTGAATTTAAAGTTTTGATTACGAGTTTTTTCAAAATGCACCACTTCAAAAATTTCAAAAAAATTCTAAAAAATTTTTATACGTTTTTGAACTGACCATATAAGTATAAATTTGGGATCATTATGGATTCATAAGGTAATCTTTACTTAAAATGCACAATATTTACTTACACTCAATTTCACTGACTTCAAGTGCAGATCATAGAAGTCTATACTAAAATCCCTCCAAAACATTAAAATCTATTAAAATTTTTGCAGAGCTTAGCGTAAAACCTAATTAACAATCACGTGATCAGCAGTGTGCGATGAGGAATAAATTGCAATAGCGAAGCATTGCCAAATCCTGAAATTATTCATAAAAATGTCTCTCTTCAAAATTAGAATTTTATGTTAAATTTTGTGAAAATACTCAATCATTACTTACATCCATATCGAGGTGAACCACCCCTGTTGATCGTCGCTTAGGTTTTCGACGCCTCTGGATGACGGCTTGGGTTGCTTGGGCATTTCTGATGTCATTTTCTTTATCTTGTTCTGCAAAGACAAAGTACAATACAATGAAGGAGGAGAAGAAGAAGAAGAAGAAGCAGCAGAAGCATAAGCAAATGGGATTTTATGAACTAACAAGTACATTACAATGACTTTCCACAGCCAACAAAACAAGTTATGGTTAATTTGTAGTTGGGTGTTTTATAACAAGAAAGCTGCTACATCACTAAAATTATTCATGTAACACCATGAGCTGGATTTTATACATTAGATAATATTATACATTTAATTATTTAAATTTATGCAGCATCTTCAGTAGAAATAATCACAAAAATTCCATAAATTATTGAAGTACACATTCTCAAGGAGGTGCGCAACAGTGGTGACTTTTCCTGATTTCCTAAGATCAACTGATTTTCATGAAGATTTGATGAAGATTTTCATTAAGAAGTGATTTTGAGGCCTATTCATATATATTTGAAAGTACACAAGACAAAATTTCCCCCCTAAATATCTTAGATAATAAATTAGAGGGTTATATTATATGTGCAAATTAAACTTACTCAGTCAGGATTTGTTTATACACCAGAGAAAATTTAGAAACAATATCTAATTACTAATCAGGTGGTTTTACACCCCTACCCAGCGCCAACTAATGTTTGGTAAAATGCCCCACTTTGGTAAATCAGGCGATTGCCTGTTATATAAAATAAAATCACTGCACCTCGAATTGAGCCAGATCAACCAGGGAACATGCATTTTGGAGAAAATCCTACATATGGTTTATGGGCTTGTGGTGTTCACAGAGTCAGAAGGACGGACAGAAGTATTGGGGGGGAAAGAAAAAAAGAAAAAAGAAACCCACAAACAACAACACTTTATTGGTATAAGGGGTCCCCAAAACGAGTTTTTGTTGAAATCTTGAAATTGATTTTCCGCAGCATGTTGTATTCGTATATATGTACATATAAGGGAAAGTAAAAATGAGAGAACACATTTTGACTGAGCGGAATAGCAATGTAAATTTTGGAATGAAAAAAAAACAAGTCTTATGGTGATGTGAACACATTGCTCAAATCGTTTAAAGTTGCGAGATCAAATAATACGCCTAACAGTGGATCTTTTATGAAAGAATAAGCTGGGGAGCTTATTTCTTAAGTCCGCTTTTTGGATTTCAGCGAAAGTAATAACTGACTTGAAAGATTTCTTACACATACCAATATCATTTTACTGTCAGTAGAAGAGCTCAGGATGGAATATGCGAAGAGTGGAAAGATCGTCAACCTCTGATTTTTTAATGATACGGTATGAAGACTTACAGTAAGGACGAAATTGATTTGTTTCTCTGAGCTTTCCTATCTACATACGCGATGCTAAAATTTCAACAAAGTGCTGGAAGAAGAGTACCAAAAGATTAGTTATCTGTGTCTTACTATCAATGGAATCTGTGAAAACTGTCATTGGCAAAACTGTTTGCTCAAAATTTCAAAAACATAATTTTACAAAGTTGAGTGAGATTGTATGGCGTGCAAACAGAGAAAAATTGAATGGCAGGATCTGTTGTTAACAGAATGGCTGCAAAAATTTAACAAAAAAGCACATTGTCAAAATTTTTCCCTTTCACTCAACAATGTCCCTGTGAAACTAATTTGTACTGCCAAACACAATTGTGAAATAACAATAATTGGATCTGTAAGTTATTTGATTTGTTAATGTTCTTACTGTGACCGTACACAGGACCCCAGTCCAATAAACTACCAGATATATTCTTGTTTTGGAAAATAATTGTGTAGTTAATAAGACGGCAGAAGAAGAAACAAGTGACAACGTGAACACGGAATCGATTTTTATATTCTAGTTAAATGACAGGGGAACTTTCAAGATAGAAAACAAGTGTTAGAAAAATAAACCATATTAAGAATCATTCGAAAGCAATTCAAAAAGAAGGGTACAAAATTTAAAAGAAAAACTTAAGAGGCTGAAAGATACACCAAAAGACAATTGAATATCAGCAACTGATGTAAGTAGCTTTCGAAATAAGTTTGAACTTCGGCAAAACAGGTGAACCAAAAGGCAACAAACTTTAGGGAACGAGGCAAATTAGAAGGCAAAATTTTCAGAACCTCTTAAAAGTTCCAAATCAGAATAGAGGTAACGAAAATATAAAATGTTCCAAAAAGATCTAGGTGTCAGAGGAAAGTGAGCATTTTGTTTATTGTTCAAAAACAATTGAAAGACTGTACAACTAAAAGGACACAGATGAATGATAGCTTCCAAGCCAACAACATGTGCAAGTATGTGCAGGCAAGTTATGGTGTTTTTGGGGAGCCAGAAGAATGGCATTTAGTAGGTTGCATAGAAACACACAGGATGTGTGGAAATGTGGAATGAATCCTGCTGTCAGAACTTTGCGGTGAAATGGTAGATGGATTCGCGAGCTAATGGCAACACTATCACTTTCAGGGAAGTGAACATTTTGCAGACATTACCCGCGCATTTGGAATTTATTTATAAGAAGGCCAAGTAAGGTAATGTAATTTTAATAAAGCTTGAAACAATGTACATGGCCATCAAAATTAGAATGGGCACTGAATGAATGAGAACATTAAATATTTTTGTCATTAAGTGTGAATTAGATTCTTTTTATATTGTGTAGGCTTGTTTTTTGTTGTTTTTGCTTTATGAAGTTATTAAAGCGTCATAGAGGATAGTGGCGCTGGCAAAGATTAACGCCGCATAATAAATAATAGTACTACTGAATACATAGTTGAATAATGTCTAACTCTCTCTCTCTCTCTCTCTCCCACTCCTTCACACTCTCCCTACTCTCACTCACCTTCTTTCTGTCACCTCCTCTCTATTCACTCTCACCTTGCTCTCTCTCGCTCACTTTTTTTTTTATTCGTAGAGATAATTTCCCCTTTCGAAAGATAATTTCCCTTTCAAAAGATAATTTCCCTTTTCATTACCAAGAAGATAATTAGAATATCAGTTTTCCCTATCACGTACAAGTGAGAACTACCATCCCACGATCCAATATAAATTTTCTGGTGGCAATGCCACTCGTGACAAAAATATTATTATTGTAAAATTTGTTAAATAGAGTGTGGATTTCAGGTTACACACATAATAGATGTAAACAAATGATCCTAATACAGATAGAGGCACGATGGGACGGTCACATTTTGGACAATTACTCAAGCATCATAATTAAGAGAATGACAACAGAGAATGATAATGCTTGGATCACATCAGACTAAAATGAAATTCACTCCAAATACAACAACACGTTTTTGGATTCCTAATAGCATTACATATTGATTCATTCCCACAAAAATGGGAGCATTATAAAATTTTGGCTGAAATGTCTGGAATACGAGGCATTAGATGTAGCAGATGTACAAGGGATGATAACTTGGATTGATATGATGATATGAGGGAAAATTGGGAGGTGCAATCAATATGGTAATTTTTGGAAGATCAGATTAACACAGACATTCAAAACAAAAAAAGTGTGTTTCAAGAGCTTTATAAAATGTTGATAAATACAAAATTTGGCACTATTGAGAGGGGAGATATTGTCATCCACTCAGAAGCTCCATTATCACAAATTTAAGTGGTAACGAAGCTATCAATTGGATGAAGGTCCCCTCCCCTCTCCAGTTCTCTAAGTTTCACTGTGTTTAAATCTGAGTATAATGTGCATTGCATTAGAAAATATATTGAACATACCTTTATCATCAGGTGGTTTTGATTGTCGCCTTAAAGCTATTGTTACAGAAGCATCAGCAGGAGGTGAAGTTGGTTCCACAGGTGCTGATGAAGGTCTGGCAGGCATGTGTAATGGAGGTGGTCGACGAGCGTATGTTGTCGTTGGAGGAGTTTCCGCAACACTAGTACTACTACTACTACTTCTCCGTGCATCCTCCAACAAGAACTAAGAGTAAAACAATAAAGAGAATATCAAACACCTCAATTTATAATAATGTTATTCAAAAGAATAATATAACAATTAATAAAAAAACAAAATTAGGATAAAAAACAACTGCACTCCATGCAATGATAAAAAAACTCAACACTCGCACATGTAATGGGAAAGAACACTGTAAGCAAGTAACATATATAAATGATTCAGAAATCAAAATCAAAAATATGTGCACAAAGAATGCAAATAGACATGTGCATTCAGAAGTAAAAACCACAAAACAAAAAACTATTCATGCGCATTTACAATTTTTCATGCAGTATTCTTTATACACAAAACCTTCTTTCACTAGCTGCTATTATCATTTTTTCTGATTTCAACAAATTTGAATTCACATATTTTTTTAATTCCCAGTCTTTGGCCTATGTGAATTGGAATGAGAATTTCAAGGAAGTGTTTCATAAAAAGGTATTGTAATTATCTGACCAATTTTCTGTTATTCCATCTTGTTAATATTTGTATCCTTCTGTTAATAGTAGAACTGGAAATTCTTAACTGGTAAACTTTATGAAGATAATGACAACCCTCACACAAAATACAATGATCTAAAAAATAATAACTTTACAGTCATTACAAATTGGTAGAAATAAAATAGCACTATCATTCTTCACAAATAAAGATAATGTGAGCTCCTACACAGCGTTTTATACTTTTTGCTGAACTAAACAATAGTTTCAAAAGCAATTTTTCCAAATTTAGATTAATATTCAACACATTACACAACAAAACTAATTGGACAACAGAAGCCCAAATGCAGTCCTACAGCTCCATTTGAAAGTCACAGAAGTGTATTGATTCAAAACAAGACCCAAAAGGAGATGTAACGTGTAACTTCAAAACAAATATCATTTTAAGAAGTGGAAAGCGATAAAAATTGTGACTTTTTGAAGACTACTGTCAAGGAGTTCTATTTAATTCTTCAATGTGGAGCTGACGTTGGATATGATAGTCATTCAATGTGGGTGATGGGAAATGGATAAGGAGTATCACCTTAGTAGCAAGATAGGTGCGTTGCTACTTTGAAACACTCTATGATGGATATCCAAACATTATTCCATCGCAGAGGGAAAAATCGCTTGATGAGTAGGAACAGCAGATCACAACATGTGAAATAATAATATACACGTGGCTTCCCATGTTAAAGAACTAATACATTTCATATTATAAGTACACCCTAATCAAAGAAACAATGATTGTCTATCTGCTCTTAATAAAGCAAGCATATTTTCTACTTCAAAATTCATTACACGTTTTTGATATAGGTAGATGGTTAAAGAGGGTCTCACATTAACTATTAACCAAATTGAAATATATCCATGTCTCCCTATCCACATGGAAGGAAATTTTCAGAAGTCTTCCTTTCTGAAATGGAGGGAAGGGGTAAATCAAGTAAGTTGGGTAAATATTATTCACATGAAATAGGTACACTAGAAATTAAACTCTAAGAAGCATTGTTTATCAACACGCACCAATTTTAAAATTTGTAGTAGTGATCGTTAAAGGAAAAGAAAGTGAATTTTCTTTCAGAGGTCTCAATAAAATGCATACATGAGATCATGCCAATTTTTAAGAGTCACTAATATGCATACAAGCCTAAATTACTCAGATGTAAATAATTGGCAAACTACTTCAAAATAATCAGGAAGGAGTTGAGCAAGTATCCACCACGCTAATCAGGATGTTAATTAACCATCTTACAAGAAGAAAAGGGGAACAATATTATTGAATTCCAATTCTGACCCTTCCCTCAGAACTGAGAGAAAATAGAAAAAGGACAAAATGAGAGAAGAAAACAATAAGAGAAACATAGAAAAAATCATTAATACGTTTTTAACAGATTGCAGACTGTAGACAAGAATTCTTGTCACCTCTAGACAAATCTCATCCTGGCACACAATCACTTGCAAGGCATCCATTATTGTTTTGAGGGAAAGTACCTTTAGTATATTTCCAAAGTGTTTTGTTAATTGAACTTGTTTTGAACAGGCAACGTGTTCAATCAAACTTTCCAAGCAAATGTCCAGGAATTGCAGTGTGACAGCATCTTAAAGGTGCCAGTCCGCCATATGTTAACAAGGGTTTTTAATATTTCTGATCTCCAAAGTATTAAGAAAAATAATCAAATAAAAATTGAAATAAATAAAGAGGTGGTCAAATACTACATTAAGAAATTCTCTCTCCCAAGATTTCTTTCTTTTTGTTTTTAATATGACCATGTAATGGTCATTTTCTCAACAACAACAATAATAATAAAATTATTAATAACAAATTTCAACTGATTCATAAAATATAAATTTGCTTTGAAAACTCATAGCATTCATAAATTATAAATGAAAGACACAAATAACCTTGCTGACTGATTAGAACATGCACGTTAAAATATATGGATTTGAAATAAGATTAATTTCACACATTTCTTCAGTGTCCACATATCCATACTCACACATTCATTAGCCCACAGTGCATTACATGCAAAAGTCAATATTAACAGACAAAATAAACATAGCCACAAATATTAAATGGAAGGAAATGGAAAAACCAATGAAAACTACATGCCATGCTTTACACAATTTGCTACATTTTTATGCATCATCCAATATGAACTTTGATCGTTTGTCTGAACAGACCAGCAACAGAATTTTAAATATTACTAAAATGGAGAAATTAAGATTGATTGAATTGATTTACTCAACATTAATTTGCCAGATGAAGCTTTAGATCAAGAGACATACAAGCTACATCTGCAATTCTCAAATATTGCCAGACAACAGATCAATGTAGGAAAAGTTATATTGAAAAAAGTTGTATACAAAGAAGTCGTGCTAAAGAATTTGAAATAGGTGAAATGTATGTCCACACAAACTTGTAAACTAGCATCAAGAGCACAAAAGTTTGCAATGCTACCTACGAAGTATTCAAAGTGTAACACACACCTTGTTCCTGTCCCCATTATCAACCCTAAGCCGCCATGAAGGGCGTCGCTCTTGGGGAGGTTCTTCCTCTTTTGGACTAGAAGGTGATGTTGGAGCGCCTGTTGTAATTGTAGCCGTCACAGACGGCACTGAGTTAGTGGCGGTAAAGTTGGTGGTAGTAGTTGGGGTCAGCACAACAGACTGCACAGAGGGGAAGATAGGAAACCTTACACACATTAGTAATTCAGAAGCATAATAGAAGTAGCAGCAAAGGCAGATTAAATATTTTGGTAAAAAAAATAAAAAGCCAGTTAAACAAGCGAGAAAAAATTTCACTTATTCTAAATACAAAAACATATAATATTCAATAATTTTGAGTTTTCCCTTTCTATTCTTTCACCCATATTCCCACCTCATGAATTTATTGTAGAATCTAACACATTTCATAGAAAACACACCAATATTAGAAGACAGCAAAAACATTATTTCAGCATTAAAAACTGCTAGAATATAAATTTAAAATTTAGTGAAATTACCTCAGGTCATCACATAACTATTTCTACAAATGCTCTTGTATACATAAGCTTTATTTGTAAACTTGCTCCTAGCAACTTAAAATTTCAAGACTAGAGCACAGAATAAATAGAAAAAAAAAATGATTTGTTTTATACATGTCTACATACTTTTTGCACACCATGCTCTATTTTTTCTTCTTCAGAAAGCTTTTTTCTTAATTCCACAATGTCAGTAATATGGGATTATTCATTTTAAAAGATAGCCATATTCAAATGTAAAATTTTATATACACAGAAACACAAAAAAGAAGCCACAATTGGCTCCAGTTGCAGCACTCTGTAATAAGTATGTAGATTGATGAGTAGATTGCACTCCATTTCCACATTACCCTAAGATTTCCTTTCCTACATTAATTGAATATAGATCTATTTAGGTATTTCTACACTGGAGGTCCACAACATTTTTCTCCTTGTGAACACCTACTAAATACTGTAATAAATTGCTGAACTCCAAGAAAATTCATTTGAAAAATAAAAAAAAGAACTACATTATGAAAATTTATTTTCAGATGGTACAATAGTGGATTACATGGAATTAAAATATAATCTTAAAACATTTATAGACAAACATTAGAACTAAATAGGTCACTTAAAGGGAGATAAAAGCGTTTGAAGATCAAAAAAGTGAGTTTTGGATTTTTGCACATTTTGCCTGCTTTATTCTAGATATGTTGGTACTAGTATCATGACAATTAGACAATTATTTCTCAAGTTATGACTTTTGAAATCTTCGACAGTGATTAATGAACTTTGTATCCTGTTTCGTGGCTTCAAGTAGTAGAACCCATTCAAAAATTTTGCACAGTATATTTAAGCACATGGAATGGTTTTTAAGTTTTAGAATTCCTGTGCTGAAAATGTTTATTGTTAAATCACAGAATTTTGGCCTTACAGCAACTGGGTTTTGGATACACAAAATAATTTTGTGGTAAAATTGAGTTGCTCTGCTCATATACTTCCCAGTTTACTGTGGGGATATATTTGGCCTCCATGATTATATAAAACTACTTTGATGCAATGCATAATTACCAATGCATCTTCATACTGAACATGGCATAATCTAGAAATGTGCTCAAAATTTTCCTCTTCTTAGTGTCTTATCACTGAACAATTACTCAGATTTTTACAAAAGGGCATGTCATCTTTTGAAGCTCTTAAATTAAATTAATATATGCAGAAAACATGAAAACCACAAAAATCAATATGGTTGCAAACTGGCCTTGAAAGTTAGCACCTATCTTAAAGCAGCAAGGATGTACACTGAAAATTAAGATGCAAAAACGTGCTAAGTGTGGGATATAGCTGCAGAAACGTTTTACATATTCACTAAATAGAAAACCCCTAAAACATCATTTAATTTTGTTCAGTATTATGTCTTAAAGACAAATTAAATAAGGAAGGTTTACAAATTCTGAAACAATACAATCACTATTCACTGTGAACTCAGATTTCAACATCTTTCTGAAAATCTAATGTGTCTTCTTGTTTTTACCAAGATCTGTAAATGTATGATGCAGGGAAATATGGCAAAAAAATCTTACTGTCCACCACACCTAAAAAATGTTATGCACCACATAATTATAACCACTGAAATTATTTTGTGAAGGGAAACATTAGTCAGACAATCACTAAACATTGTTAAAACTTGCTGAATTAGCTTCTCTAAAAACTCTCTCATATTCACATGTTCTCTACAAAGAGGAAATGCTAAATGCTTTCAATAGATCAATTGTAACTTGCACAACGAAATAATGAAGAAATTACTACAGATAAGAATTCATTCTATTAATTTTATGATTTATAATAAAATTTTGTGTTTATATTCTAAAAGCAGTTGATAATAGCAAGCAACAAAACACCTAAAGCCCACTACTTTTCATTTAAAGCAAAAATTGCAAAATTTGGTTGAGTGGAAAGTAAACTTATTTCAAACTAAAACCTTTACTGTATTAAATATAAAGATTTTTCAAATTTTCTAAATGTCAAGCTTTTAATGAAAATCAGAACTATACCATACTTATAAAGATGTTACAATGCTTCCATCAGAGCAAAAAGTTTCAAGAACAAATTTTCAGCCATTACTCCTGAACTATTTAACTAGTCTCAGCCCAAAAGCTTCTAATCTGACGAAGTTGTGCATGACACCATCTGACAAACTTCTGCATCTCTTCAGACATCCTAATTTTTTGGTACAAAACTGTATGTATTTCTCTCCAGAACAGCACTGACAGACCAGCACCCTAATGTGTGTGCAGAGTTACAGTTCCAAAGAATCTTGCAGACCGGAAAATTCCAGATCATATTGAGGTGAAACAATACTTTCCCACCATCTACTGTAGTATAGGGAGGATAAGTAAAAATGTTGTCACTCTCCTGCATGTCTTTTCAATAATTTTTAACATTAAAAAAAAAAAAAAAAAAAAAAAAAAAAAACACGCGCACCCGCACGCCGCAAGCACGCACGCACGCACAGCACTACACACAAAAATACTCTTAATGTAGGCAGCTGCAAAATATCCTCGCAGCTGTCACCGAGATATTTATGGGAGTGCATATTGACGCGAGACTGCGCTTTGACGAGCACCTGCGCAATGTCTCCGAGAAAGCATCTCGATAATGGCATCCCTATTGGCACGCATTATGCTAATGTCGGGGTCCTGGGCAAAGAAGCCGGAGAGCTGCTGACTAGGCGTAGTAAATTCCATTCTTCTCTACGCAGCCCGCTGTTTTGGCTGATGCCATGGGCATCAGTCCATACGCCCGTGGGCTTAAGTCTGTGCATAGAAGGTCCGCCTGTGCGGCGTGCTCGAGTCGTTTTCGCCCACGTATCCTATGAATGCTTGTGTGTGTGTGTATAGAACAGATATGCCTCTCGATCGACCTCATTGGCCAGGAAGGAGAGCTAGACTCTATTTGCGCAATAGCGGGAGGGGGCCTCAAACTGGAATAACCATTACGAAATAAAGGAGGGGGGTCGACAATTGGACCATGGCACGCACGGTGGGAGCAATCATCAACTGGGCGATGGACATATTCGGGTCATTCCGACAATCATGACGTGGATTCAAAGGGAATATGGAGAATTAGATTTTTGTATGCTACTCATGGCTGACAGGGCATGGATGTTACGGCAGTATTCAGCTCCGATCCGCTGACGATAGCTGCAATCATGCCCAAGTGTTTCCCGGTGATGTAAGCATGTAGAACACGTGTTCTTTCAATTGTCCACGCTTCCCAGTGGAAAAGGGAAGAACTTCCCAGGACTCCTGCCAAGAGGAAGTGACCCCGAGACCATCGTCACTAGGATGCTGACTGACACAAAGAGTTAATTGAGAGTGCGGTTGCCACCTATCCGCAAAGGTCGCTGAAGACGCTCCGCTCGCGAGGAGGCAGTTACGAAGAAGACTCCCGTAATATTTTTCGAGTGACGTGTCGAAAAGCCCATCCCTTCCCTTCTCGCGATGCAATGCTGACGGCGGTTTCCGCGGAAGGAATAGGAGGAAAGGGAGGGGTTTTTAGTGGGTAGGCATAGGCTAGCTATGAATCCCATACGCTGCGGGCTGCGGGCCCCGCTGTGTCTTTAGAAGATTTTCCCCTGCCCACGTAAAAAAAAAAAAAAAACCACACACACACAAAAGTAACATTTTCTTCCTAATTGCATCACAAATGTGGTAGCAACTCCTCCATATGTTCAACAATGACCAAAAAGTGTTCACAATTCCGAGGAGAGAAAATGCCATGATGATCAGATCAATCAGATAATTGATTTTTTTCTCTTAAAATAAATTTAAAAACAACTTTAGAGTAAGAAAGGAGAAATGAACACGCAACTTCACTTGATGCATCATATTTTGAATCTTATAGTCTTTCTATTACTATTAATACACATCATGGATTCTGCTTTTCTGTCTCTTTCAATCACATGTATGGAGTATTCTGTGTGTACAGCAGCTTCTGAGCTGGCAGAGCTGTTGTGTACATGTGTGCATTAACAGAAACTCTTGAAATTATTCAAAGGGAAGCATGTTAACCATGTCATAATTACAAACATTTTCCAAAACTATAAAGTTTTATTAAAAACAATATAACTAAGTTTTCACACATGAGGGGGCTATTTTCAAATGTAGCCTCACTTTTTTCCCAAAAAGGAGTTGTTAAAACTCGGACAATCTTGGTTTTGGAGTATTCTGTTTCTCAAACTTGACAAAAAACGCTTTTTTTTGTAATTAAACTTCAAGTCAATATCAAAGTTAATAATCTTCAAATATTGGATGCTTCAAAATAAACATTTTCTAAAATTTCAATTACGCAAACAAAATTGTTGCCTCTCAGCATGAAGTTACACTGTTATTGTATACACAGAACATAATTAGTTGTCTGTATAATAATTGTAAATTCCTTATAATTTTTCAGTGATATTAGTTTCTGAACACACAAAATTGGGCCTTTCTTCGCACTCCTCTATAGTACTTTTTTCTCATGAAGGCACAGTGCTCAAATGCGATACTTAGTCTACTTACTCTCCTAACTCACCCCCTCTGAACTCACGAGGCTCTTCACTTGTCCTGTCTTCTAAAAAGTTTCAGTTTGTTGAAAGGTTTTTAATTCCGGCATTAGTTTTTGAAG